GGTCCATATGAACAGGATCCTTCCATCCTTTTCTCCTTTTTAGTATGGAGAGTTTATTTATATGTTTAAATTTCCTCCGGTGTAATGTATTTTTATTTTATAATTAGCGGGATGGTGTACGTTAGAAGGAACAGCCACTACCGCAGTTGCATGGCTTTTGCGCGTGGTGATTTGGGGTGCAGGTCTGTGCTATCCAAAGAAAAGTTAACAGGTGTCGGTGTATCAGTGGTGATTTATCGAAGTTTAATTTGCGTTTTGTGGCGTGTTTCATTATCGTCTGCAGTGAGCTGCGAGCGAGTCGGTTATATAATATAATTTACCCGCCGGGTTGTCGTAATTTTCAGCTTTTCACGAATTGTCACACTGTCTCCATCGAAAGTGTTATAAAAGCGTGTTTGTGTGTAGGATTAACTTTTATTTGTCTTATTCTCCGCGTATATGTTGGTTGTATTTATTTTGCGGTTCACTTAACAACACCGTCAAGTAGGCCAGACTGTGAGTGTCTTATAGTGTCGGATGTTGGCATGCTTAATGTGTGATGAATTGGAAAGGATTTAGAAGAAAGCTGCTGTAGCCTTATTTAAAGTATTATTCCGTAATTTGCTTGGCTGTACTGATGAAAACCACGAAAAATCTCAGGGTAGCTGACGTCCAGGCGGAGAAACACGTCTAATTACATGATCTGTGTCATAATCTCTAGTGTTTGAAATGTCGGTCGTAAAAACCTAGTCTTACACGACTCTGCCTAAATATTGCTTTTAATTCCCATGTAACATTTTGGCCTGTTGATAACTTAAAAATTTTGGCTGTGGTATCGATCGGGCTGTTTGTTGCTAGCTTTGCATCCCTGAGGCCCGGCTTCGCGCCCAGGTCAGTATATATGGGATTTGTAGTGGACAAAGTGGCATTGAGGCAGACTTTTCTCCGAGTTCTTAAGTTTTCATCGTCAATATAATTCCACTGCTACTGCATATTAACTCATATAGTCGCTCTGATGATGGAGGCAGTATGACCTCTGTAACGTCGGTTAACTTCTTCCAGACTACACGGCGCAACAACCCAGAAGACAGCAATCTTCTAACTCGCCACCGTGAAAACCACAAATTCTACTGGCTACAGTATTAAACGTTTCGTGTAGCTGTCAGTATTTCAAGTGAAATTATATTGTCTTTTCGCGTAAAAGAAAATAAGTGGACACAGTTATAAAACTGGTCAGCTAAGATGTTCTACCAGTAAGGCAGATATTTCAAAAAAATATCAAAGGTTGAGAATGTTTTTCGAGGCCCATGCACTAGAATGTTACGCAGAGGCAGTTTTTGGCTCTACCTAGCGGACAGTCTATCACTTGGAAATCTTAGGGGCTAGCTGTTCTTCCTGTTGTATTGGAGAAAGCCAGTTTTTGTTTCTGAAGTTTCTTGCAGGTGAATCTGATTTCGCATATCATCTAAAGCTTCAGCAGAGTAGACACCCTTAATGTTTTCAATTCGCAAATGTCAAGTCTGTGAATGTGACTTGATAAGGTTCACGCTCATGAATATTTATTTACTTTGGCCTGAACATCATTATTTATTTATTTATTTATTTAGAGCCTTACTCATTTCCGGGAACAACATAATATGAACAAAATTTCGAAGACACGCGACTTGCCTATGTATAATACGGACACGGAACCAAAATTTTGACTTTAATGTGATATATAAACGAAGCAAGCCTTAATTGAACTCTGAAGTAAAAGGTTAACATGTGACAGAATATCTAGGCAATCGGTTATTCACTTCGATATATCGCGAGCTGCAGGGGAGAAGTTACAGTGAGAAAGTCGTGGGTGTGGTATTCTGCCTAACCCATCGGAAACAGTAGCTGATCAAGTATTTTCTTTAAGATACGATACAATAAACGAAATTGTCTAAACTGACATGATGTTTTTGTAAATCATGCCAGCTCTGTGATTAATAAAGGAGTTTAAATTCATTCCAAATGAATTTTAGTCCTTTATGAAAACCTCTTCGACACATTCACAAAATTACAGGTTTGGAAATTTTGAAATCAAGCGTACTGATCCCAGGCTACTGACTGCTAAGTCACTTCGTGTACCGAGGGTCGCAAATCTGATAAATATTTGTCACAGTTGCCTGGGGCCTTCATGGCCCAATGCTGAAGGCTACTCACATTCCCGTGTCCTAACAAACTATGTAGAACATGTTGGAGACATTTGTATACTGTTCCGCGTTGTTATACTCCAACTTTGGATAAAAATTAATTCTGTGTTACGGATTGTTGGAGATCTCATTTCATGTAAGAAATACGATGAGAATGGGAAATCCATAGAAGTATTTCAGTGGAAATAATCAACAGAAGCAATGATTTCCATGCAATCTCCAATCAGGCTCCGTGGTTTTATGCAGTGTAGACATGATATGTATTTTCAGTAACCTATGTTGGTCAGGTAACACTTTCTTAAGTTCTGGATGTTTTCGTTTCGGACTTGATTCTCGTGGCGTACGAGAATAATACCACGCCAGATATTAATACCAGAGTCAGGATTGTTTACATGGTTACATATTAATGATTTCGGGCAGTGCTGTTAGTAAATGTCAGATATTTACTAACAAGTTGCAAATAACTACTTTAAAAAGTTCCCAGCATCATTGTATAAATGCATGTTAAGTTAATGTTGAGTAAAAGTTCATGTATAAACCCATTTTACCCTCCGTCGTATTGGCTGGTTTGTTACGCCTCTGATACGTGTCCAGGAAGATTATCGTTTTTACAGATGTGATAGATTTAGTCTTCTATTCGTGAGAGTCATGCTGTTTCGCCTCGTGACTTGCGCAATTCGCGTGTCATCATGCTGCACTGTTATTATTACTATACGAAATGAATGATGGGAGAATGCTCTGTCTTATCCTCTGAGGCAGCAACTCGTCTCTGCCACTGGCACGAGAGGACAGCGTATATCAGAGATTCGCACTTGTTTTTGTAACACGTCTGTATAACCTAATTCCTTAACGTAGAAGAACATTCTGTCATGTGCTGATTTGTCGTTATAACTACATGTATAGTTTCTAAATATGAAATTAAATAGCGATCTTAAGTAGGCCCCAAAGTATTTTTAAATATGGCTTGCATCCGTGTGCGCATTTATTATTCACGTCTAGTAGATTGTACACTATACTCAATCTACTGTTAGTATTTGTTGGGTCATTTATCATCCGTTCTCTGTTCTGCTCCTTCATGCCTAGTTTGGCTAAGCAGTGACGAATTTAACCAGGTGCCTCAGGGTTTGATTTCCTGAATGAGGCCAGTTTGACAACTGAAGCCGTTAAGACGTTACTACATTGGCCTCGATTTTAGAACCTGCAGTCTCGAAGTCGAATCGGGATGAAATTTAATGCACATAAAATGGGCTTTGGTGTTAATGGAACTCACCAAATAGTCATTTATTTATGTTTCATATTTACATAACGGGCCAATGACCCCATAGATCTCTACATTTTTATTATTTGCACAGCCATTTATGTACTAACTGATGCATTTATCTGCTTAAAGCAAGTTTTAATAGCTAAATTCAATACCTTGATAAGATTTCTGGCAAGTTATTAGGCCACGAAATATACATTAAGAATCACGACAGGCCTGTACACGGCTGGGCCATCTTGAAAATACAGAGTGTTGATGGGCTGGTACAGTAGCACAGAAGGGTCAACTGTATTGGGTTTTCCTCTGCGAAAGTTGTGGCGAGAGGTCGTTACGCAACGCCGTTGTTGGAAAGATATTGCGTTCTGTGACGTCGATTTGATCTGGTAGCGGGTTCCTGTTGCAACCCTGATGTTCATTAAGGTTACATAAAACCTATGTGTAGGCGTGCGTGATATTCCCAAGCCTTCGAAGAATTTTCTGTCGCCTTTCTTAGTGACAATGTTATAAGTTGTTTCATTCTTATGCAACGAATTAGTTGAATTAGTCGTTCTGTTTGAGTTGTATAATGTTAGCAGCTTGTGGTACAGAGAGATCAACAAACTTTTCTCTGCCCTTCATTCATCATTAGTTCATTACCTTGCGTTGTTTGTGATGTAAATTGTATTTGTATTTATTTATTTATTTATTTTCTCTGTAGCGTTGATTTATGAGTACACAATTGGGAAGATGAATGTCTTCATCATTAGTTCATTACCTTGCTTTGTTTGTGATGTAAATTGTATTTGGATGTATTTATATACTTTTGGGTTACTTAGCTGAGACTACGTCTCTGTGGCGTTGATTAATGAGTACACAATTGGGAAGATGAATGTGGAAGGAGACGGTAGTTTGGGCATTTGCCTGGGGAAACTCACTAAAACCACGGTCTCCAGGTCTAGATTTGACCCCAGGACCTCTCAGATACGATGAAGGAGTGTTAACCATTCGGCCGCAACGTTCGATGACACTTGGATGTGAATACATTGGAATTTTAGAATGGACTCGGGTAATCGTAGAAAGAATGAGATAGTTCTTGAAATATGTAATATTGTTTTGGTTACACGACATGAAAATTTTTACATTGAAGTGTCCGATGACGGACCATTGCATTTTGGTCGCGCAGCCGTAATTCGGGTGTACGTTTGTAAGAAGCTTTACATAGAAAAGTACCTGCCATATAATCTAGTAACGAAAATATGAAAGTTTCAAAATGTACTAATACTCTGGGTTTTCTGATTACTTTTAGAAATGTCTGAGATCTTTATTCTGCAGTTTCCATTTCTGATAACTGAATTTCACTTCACTTCCAAATATGATTCTGCCCGAATCGTAAATAAGAGCCTTGAAGTCTGAATAGGCTAATGTGTTTGTAATTTCACTGATTGGGTAGTTAATGACTTACGTGTGGCAGCATTACTAAGGATACTTGTCCGGAACTCCGGTTCCTGACACTGGAAAATGATTTTCATTAATATCGTAGTAGGTAGAGCTGTCTCATGACGTGTGCAAGTTGAAGTCTTATCACTGGTATTCTGTTACAGGCTACCCGGAAAGTGGCGAAATGCGGGTACCTGTTTGTAGCTCCAGGATGGGATTTTTCGAATCCGCTCAACCGCACCAAGGTGAGTTAATTGTTGTTTTAGGTATATTGTAGGTCTTAAAACAGACCTTACATTTTTGAAGATGTGCAGTAACTTAAGATCTGAGTTAAACTGGTGATGATTGTTTGGGGTCGAAACATGTAGTTCAGTATTAACGATCATTTGATAAAATAGTGAGAACAAAAAGTCGAAATGCAAGGATGTCTTTTTCACAAGTTCAACGCGTGTTCGTTGTCGAACACTGCCTGGTGGTTCGTTATTACGGAACTTGCCAGAATAGTTTAGGAATACATTTCTCGATTCTGATGTGTCAAAAACGTCGAAAAAATCTCTTACGGTGAACCGTTACCGTGAATTTCGTCGTGTTGCATCAAACACCAGGGAAAAAGTGTATGACTGCATGGCTGAACGCGGTGGACATTACCAACACTTGGTATAATATTGTTTTTGCTTTCTGATTTCATTGTAATTTATTTTTTGACGAATGTAACCTGTCAGGGTTGTCAGGAATGGGTTGCGTTTATGTTCGATTACTCTGTAGCTTGAAATAGGTTACTACTGATTAATTTCCAGTTTATTCCACATCGCTGTGAATCGTGATCTTTTAACCTCATAAGCTGACCTCTTAACTTGACACTGCGTCTTCAATGTATCCTAATAACGCTAGAAATCTGAATTGAAAGCTTTCGAAACGGCGGTTTAGAAATCGAGATGACACAAGTGTTATATACAGTAGCCTCGTCTCTGGCATTCAGTTCTGTTGTGTGTGTAGTGAGAAGATATTTGTGCACTGAATGTCAACGAGGGGAATTCCAGTGCCAAAAGAAGAACTTTACGATTTGCGCGGGAGACTGTGGCCGGCGGAGAGAGTATCGTGTTTTGCGAGACCACCGACAGTGTAATCGTTTAGATCCATGCTTCCTTTCGCAAAGGTCCGGCAGTTCTGAAACGTTTCTTTGACATTGGAGATTTTGCTGTTATTCTTGCATGCACTGTCAGTCATGCCTGGTCGAATGATCACTAAAAAGAAGATGTTGAAACTGGTGAAAGCCAAAAAATCACACTAATTTATTAAAGACCTTTCTTTTCATTATACTTTTTACGAACATTACGTAGTTATTCTTAAGAAGGAATGAACAGGTTTAGAAATTATTTTTTTAACTTTTTAAGGCTGAAGCTTCGAACTGTAAAATCTAGGCTATAAACCGTTTAGAAATGTATTTTGATATTACAGGCAGTGAAAGGTTTAGGCCTATTTGTCTCATTATTATAGGCTGTAGTGAAACTGTGGCTTACGTATAATTTTGGGAAGATAATTTTAACAGTAGCCTTTAGCACTAAGTACAGAGGAAATTCCCTTTTTACGAGAAAGATGAAAATAGTGGTTGGGCGTGGGAAGAATTGAAAAAAACTATAAGAAAAATGAAGAAGATAGAATTGAAGGCGAAAGATGCTTATATCATGGTATGCCAACAACAAACAACGAGCAGAGGAGGTCAAATGGGAGGGAATCTGTGTATACAGTTATCAGACCGCTGCTTCAAGGGTATGTTAATGTTTGTATAACATCACCTATGCATTTTCTTAATTAAAACTCGTGGTTTTACTTCCTACACCGTTACAGTAAAACCTCGTTATAATGTTATCTTTGACTTCGTGTGTGTTTACTAAAGAAAATGTAAATTTTACGGGAATACAGTAAACAGCAGGTTGATACGGAACGTCTCTGTAAATGCTATTAAGTAAATAAAAGTGTACACTCAGAAGTCCTGTTCCCCTAATAGACATCTGGTAAGTAAAATTGACAGTGTGGTTGAACCTTAAGTTTATTTTGTGGCCGCGTTGGTGGTTGTAATTTATTGGCTTCTGAGTTGCAAAAGACCATCGATTCTCTGCGTTTGGTATGTTTAGGCTTCTTCCTAATTGGGATTTTTCGCGTCTATAAAATGTCAGTCTGTCATTATCGATTTTTGTGTTTATTAAAACGGTTATTACAGTTGAATTACTTTCATACATACATAATGCATTCTTCTCGGGCTACCATCCATGTCATGTGATTTAATCGAGAAAACACCAACTCTTCGAGGACCATCTTTGTCCTCAGGGTACTGAAGTCAGGACTTCAGTACCCTGAGTTGGTTCCCGAAACTTTGTTGTTTTCGCCTTTCAACGGCTGGTAGCCCGAGAAGAATTCATTATAAGTGATAGGTTTGTTGGTAGCTTGTAAATAGCTACAAAGTAAATCTCTTTTAAATTTCGACGGGAATTTGTCTTACAAAATATATCAAAATCTGCCTTGTGTCATAAGGTCTTAAGACGAACGGGTGCACTACACGAAAGGTGGCTTGCGCCATTGCATCACGCTGGGCTTCGTAAAGACCTCCAGTAATAAACAGAAGTCTGTGGAATGCTACAGAATGCCTTGCATTTAAAACATCTTGATGCAAGACACATGAATCGTGATTCAATGCAAATTCACTGAAGTTGTTCAACTGCATGGGAAACTGGCGGAGTTTCTTCATTCACAGCGGATGATAGTTACCGGCCTGTTCAAAATATGTTCCCTATTTTCGTGAAGACCTTTTTACATCCTGAATCAACTTAATTTTATTAACACGAGATGTACTTTAATAATATCCATTTGCATCTGGGTATTCCAAATTGTCCTTTTCTATGGGATGTTTATGCATTTCTTGTTCGTCTCTTGCATCTGAGTGTGTTTAGGAAGAAATACAATTCTCAATTGCGTCTTATGAGATTCTGTGATTTATCCGCCGAAAATATCAGAAGCTTGAACCTTTTATGCCCATACGAATACGTTAAAAAATAATCTCGGGACTTAGACGCACTGTTGACTAGCTCTTGTGAAAGTGGTAATGAATCTTTGGTTTCCATAATGGGTGATTAGTATCTTGACCAGTTGAGCGGTCATACACCGTAGAAGTAGGCTAATTAATTAGTTCTTCATAGAACACCATTTTTAGCCGTAGGTTCTGAATAGCACGGAGGACACATGAGAGAGATTGTCTGTTTTTGAGTAAGACAACGCATTGAAATTGAAGAACCTGACGCATTCGAGGTTCTTTGAGGTAATTTTAAGTTCAGTTTAATCCTTACTATGTTAGATTATAACTATTTACAATAGCCTCTAGTCTACTAAATAAACTACACGTTTATTGTTATCGGAAAAGTCTGTGTAAAAGGAAAATATTTTAAAATTAGACTACGATCTGTTTTGTTTTGAACCAAAGATGGCCGTCACTTCAAGAAATGTGTTCCTTCCTTCATATCTTGTTCTGATCCATCAACAAAATCAAAATGAACGAAGTTGTGGATCCTGATGATGGATGTCGTACCGAATACAAATTTATCTGAATATTTATCACGATTGTGGAAATGTCGCTGATAGGAAACTTTGTTCTCGCCTTTTAGCAGCGTCATGAAAGTTGGCCAGCGTCTGAAATCAGAATTTCTGAGAGAAAGGTGATTCACATCGCATGGACTCTGGAGCTGTGTGTCACGTCCTGTGTATTTGCGATTCTCTGGATGCTAATTAATATCAAGCCTGTGTTACGTTGTATCCTCTCATTACCCTGCTTTTGAACGTACTTCAAAACCAATTTCTAGCATCGGAGAAACGTCGAGGCCTCGTTTAAAATGTGCGTGTTGCGTGACATACAACTGGGTGAGAGGGGAGGGGAGTGGAATTCTCAGAAGTTTTGGTTCACCTCAGTACAGTCTGTCCTTTAACCGTAGCTCTTTCGCTGCTCGTGCAAGTTTGTGGAGTGATTCTACGTCAGTATTTTCGTAATTGAAAGTCTAAGACAGGGATTATATACCTCTTCGTTATCGATTTGCGGACCCCGGGTTATAAATGACTTAATTGAATTTCATAACAATCTATTAAAATTGTATGAACTTAGATCGGTTCACATTTATTACTCAACGTTTTTCTTGGATAACTTTACTGTCTTTCTGTTTTTATTTAATTATTACATTTAATTATGAGCCGGGATAGCTCAGTCAGTATAGTGACTAGCTACGGGCTGGACGACCGGGGTTCGATCCCCGACGGGGGCAGAGGATTTTTCCTCTAGCCTCTGCGTCCAGACCGGCTCTGGGGCCCACCCAGCCTCCTCTACAATGGGTACCGGGGTTCTTTCCCGGGGGTAAAGCCGGCCGGGGCGTGATGCTGACCACTCACCCCCATCTAGTGCCGAGGTCAAGGAAGAGAGGAGCTATACCTCCTCTCACCCCAAACGCCTACAAGGCGTATAGTGGGACAAACTTTACTTTACTTTACTTATTACATTTAATTAAATAAGTTAGTTAATTTAGTTGGTAACAATTTTTTTTATTTATTTTGCAGGGTAATATATACACTATTAAGTTACAGAAATGTACGCGGGTGAAAAATTATCTTTCCGTAGTGAGGAATGGTTTTTATGGCTCACTAAACCTCTAATCGAATGCGTACTTACTCCTTGAATGTTCGAGGACAGATGTTCAATCCCCCGTGTGAAATTCCATCTGGACCGCAACATACGCGCCATTACGGAGCCATTTGAATGAGAGTACAAATGTCAAATGATACTTTTGTAATTTTGAGAGATAAGGTACGTGGAACATGATGCAAACTGAGTCACGCCCTTGCTTTAAGTAAAGAGGACTAATATGAGACAAAGATGAACGAATTGGATTGGCATTGTATTTGATCCTCGCCAGATTAACGGCTTGTGATGTGTTTTCGGCTACACCATACATTTTATCTCCCACTTTTTGATTTCTTTTGTGATATTTTATTTGTTATATTAAACGTTTCTTCCTTGTCAAAAATCCATTTAAAAGTTGGTGGTCACTATGTGCTTTATTGAAACTTGTTACGTAAAGTTTGAATCCGAATGCGATTTTTTTTTTGGCATTTACAAACTCTTTTAAAATTATGTGGTGGTTTCTACGTTAGATAATGAGAATGTCCGTGTACATTCTATAATTTAACAGAAACTGGGTTTTGAGACTTA